GTGATATCGAAATGGGCGAAATCGCCTCTTGATATCACTAACTCTTTTGACTCTTGAAAAATGAAAACTGACATGTCAATATAAATGACAGCCAAGGAAACAAAACCGTTTAGAAAGACCAGGAAAGCCCTACTATTCAGCTACATTATGCTTCTCAATTTAACGGCTGAACCTTTCCATTCTCCTTATTTTCACCAACCCATGCCAAACCAAATCCTTCCAGAGTTCAGATGAGGATAACTGCAGGTTTGTCTGAGGAACACAAAGGAAAGCGATATTTTAGATGGTACTTTCAATATCAGTCAGGAGGACTTCTGTTTCTGCCACTTTTCAAAATCAGAGCATAACTGCCTTCTGGAATGCACACTGTAAAAATTCATAAAATGTTTACCACTGTACTCAGATATCTACCAATACAAATTTATTAAATACAAATGCAGAATGTAAATAAAAACATAATGACATTGCACATGAATAAACAATATTTGTTTGTGACAAGAAAATGAAAGATTTTCACAGGTATTAGTCAGAAATTTTGAGAAAGGAATGTGTGAACTATATCCATCTAAATTGGAACTTCTCCTTAGTCCAATGTAACAAATAAAACCCAACACTCATGATGCCTGGTTATTTTTCATGGAAATATTATCATAATTTCCACAGATCAAAATTTAATTTTGATCGGTTAAAAAAAAAATCAATTTTCAGGACTTGGAATGGACTTCAATGCAGTAGTGTAGCCAGAGGAGGCAGGTCCAAAGACCTCCTATACAGAAATAGGGTTGAGTGTTAGTATCAAAAACACCCTATTATCTGGGTGCAGGCTCCCTTTTGTACCATTTTTGGCTTTGCCTTTAACCTTTGCCACTCCAAAATGCTAGGGATGTGCCACTGCTCCAAGATGAGGAAGTAGATCATGCCATCAATCAGCAAAATGAGGGGGAAAGTGATCAACTGAAATCAGTTATTTGAACTAGCTTGTCTACTACAGTCCTTCTCCTTAGACTATATCCTTCTTTCCTCCCTCACAGATATGTTTCCAGAAAATAAATCCATGACCTCAAAAACTACCATTCTCCAAGGTTTGTTTTTTTTCTGATGGCCGCATTTCTCCTTATGATATCGACATTCATTTTGGCCAAAAGTGATACAAATTGAAATGTCCCAACCATATTGTAAGGATGTTCATATAATTTTGCAGATACATAAAAGGTCCTATGAAGGTGCACAATCTTATTCATGTTCAAATGCTCCAGCCTACCATGATCCATTGACCTACAGGTTGTTCACTGAGGTCATATTACAATGTAGTTCCTTGCAAGAAGTTCTCTTCTCTTCTTAAACATAAAAATGTCTGTTGCATGAACTGTTAAAACTGATCTCTCTCTAGCACAGGGGTGTCCAACCTCTTTGCTCAACTGGGCTGCATTGCCACCAAGAGACCTCCCTTGGGCAGCATGACCTTTTTTTTAATATTAACAGTGCTGACATGAACCCCTCTAGAGACTATTCATTTCCTAGGAAGCACTGTGGGCCAAATGAACTGTCACCATGAGCTGTAGGTTGAGCACCCCTGATCTAGCATCTTCAATGCATTCCAGATGTATTGGAAACTTCAAGGCATCTTGAAATGTAACACATATTTGATTCAAACCAATGTGCTCATTGCAAGTCATTGAGACCTTGAGGATTTTCAGCATTCAACATCCTTCCAACTTATCATCAGAGGAATTAAGGGAAAAGACCTTTGGGCCATTAAAGCCATACAGAATGTGATTACCACTCTGTCTCTGAAAACTTCATCCAATGTGGACATGAATCATACAGGACAATGCACTGACAAAACACATATATGAAATAAACATGTGCAGTCCACCATCAGTTAGATGGGTATGAATTCTCATGACTCATAGAAAATTATACATCTGTCTATTTTCTTGACACCTGAGTGGAGGGCATTAAAAGCTAATTTGGTAACTTTTAACTAAGTCAAGACATAAAATTCTCATTAGACACAGTGCTGACCAACCAGTGAATAAAGTTGCATTAGTTACCACTGATTCAGAAAAGAATTGATTGTCAAGGGTCTTTTTGCAGGTTTTATGAATCCCTTTCAAAGAGATTTATTCTATTCTCAATCTGAGGCACCATGACAATACACAGAAATCTGCAGCTTCATTGAGCTGTCTCTAGGATTAAATTAGCAGGATTAAATAAGCACACTGTACATCTAAGGGTAATAGAAGTTGCTAATGTTCATATCATGCTGGCCATAGCCATTGCTCTACAATGTAATCTGAGCATCTCCAGAAGGGCAAGAAGTCAACTTACAATGCCATGGCCACGAGGATTTCACAGTACCATCACAACTAGAGTTATGGCTTAATAAAAGCCCTAGAGACCAAAAGATCATCCAATTGACTCCTCTTAATTTCTGAAGACACCAATTTCAATAAGTATTTATGTCCCATCCTCATGAAAGGTGGATGCAATCTGGGAAGCCCATGTAGATGCCCTGGATGATGCATCTCATTACCTGCTAATGAACTTCAATCTCAACAAAAGCTTTGAATCAGTGGTAAAAGGAAGAAACAGCACCAGTTTCTTAAAACACATAAAAACATTAACTTTTGATCTTAACATTGACCAAAGTCAACAAAGGTTACTCCTTAAAAAAAAAAAAAACAGCACATCGAAGACTAGCTAGTAACAAGGTAGACAAAGGTACAAATGTGAACTTTTCTGACATCCATCACATATCACAAGCATATTTAATGACAAAGGTTGTATGAAAGTTCCAATTTTAAGGAATCCTGGCAAATGACTGACTTGGTCTGGCAAGGATTACCTATTGCTGCTTCCATATCACAATAATGGCCCTGCTCAGGCTTTGTATGAGCGAGGTGGTCTGAACTCTATGGCCTTGAGTGGCATCTGAATCACTGTGTATACTTCATTCTGAAAGACACGTTTAAAAGGGTGTGGGTTCCCGCTCACAAGGAGCTCATAGAGTGGTGTCCAATTCAGAATTCGAGGCTCCAGTATGTCCCATATTCCTCCAAGTCTAGGGGAACAAAAAAAAAAAGACAATTTAAGCAAAAGCCAACAATAAAATATTAGAAAAACAGCATCTTGTACTTTTCTGTCAATTCTAAGTCTTGGAAGCCAGAGAAAACTCACACTTCAACAGACTGGTTGATAATGACTATGAAGCTAACTTGAAGCTCATGAAGGACTTGATAAACCTTCATTGCTGGTTGTCGACTAAAGATGCGATAGACTGCCATAGTTCGATTCCTAAAACATAAGAGGTCATAAGAAGATTGAGGTAAGGAAAAGATGACAAGGTATTAGCCATAAGAAACTTTAAGCCAGCATATAGATGAAATGAGAATCACCTGACTCCTTCATCTTCAAATTGTGGGTGATTCACAATTGGCCGTTCAGTGGAAAGCAGGATGCTTGCCATAATGTTCATGTTTCCAGCAAATGCCCCCTCTGGCTGGATTTGGTCTATCCAGTTCAGCAGTTCTTCTGTTTCGGCTAATCCCCCACATGCTGAGAGATTGCCAGGAATAAACTCTCAATTCAATATTGAAGAAAGAAGGAAAGTTGAGACTTAGAATGAGACTTACGAGACACATCATATTGCTTCTTGAGGTTGCTCACACCTTGCACAGCCATTCCAGCCAACAGTAGGGCCAACAATCCTGCATGCATGGAAGTTTGCTTGATTGGAATGTGCTGCTTGGAGAAAAATTTGAAATAATGTCTGAATCCAAGATTCTTGAAATGCTCTTGTAGAGCAAGGCTGTTGCACTGACCCGCCTGGAAGCAAGAAGTGAAGTGACAATGCACATCTGCGGTGTCAGGAACAGTTTGAGGCGCATAAACACTCCTGCCATGACAGCAAATGCACCTAACATTATCACATGATAAACATGGGGTACATGGGATGAGACATCACTCTGACTTGATGTCTCTGCCCTTTGCTTCTGCCGCTGAATAAAGAGACTTCGAAGAAAATGCAAGATGCAGAATGTGACTGCCACAATCACGGATGGGAGAAGGAGGGTGCTGGAATATCCAGCAACAGTTAAGGATGGCAGAGACTGAAACTCTGCTTGAGAAAGATAGAGAAGTGAGGAGAAGTCTGAGCCTCGACCAAGTTTCATCTTCAGCAGATCCACTATGTGCTTCTGAAAAGAATACAAAATTTCCTGATTACTGGAAGATAACATTTTGCCACATGGAAGCCACTCTACATGACGTATTCTTTTCAGCAGCAGAGATACCAGAGAATTAAAGCCATGCTGATGGCTTTTTGATTCAAAATCAGTTTAACCTTTAGCTGCCAAATATTACATACAGGTATATGTAACCTGTGAAGTAACAGAGCCCTACAGCCACTTGGGTGGAGTTATAGCCATACAAATGATGTAATCCTCAAATGACAAGACTCTGTGCGATTGTAAATAGTCATTAATACCAATCTGTACTTCGTTGTTTTTACAGTGCAAAACAAAGTCCGTTGAATTTGCTCTATAAAAAAAACCATACCTCTGTAATTGTTTCAGAGCTATTATTTTCATACTCACATTGCTAGCCTGCTGCAAGATTTCCACATTAATCTATCTTTAGAAGTATAGACCTTTGATCATAAAAATCTTAAATTATTCCCCTTCATATCACAATTCATCACAGATTTTTGCAAATATTTTAGGCAGAAAAATCATTAAATTTTATGAATAGGTACTTTGATCTTTCCTCTTCTTTATATATATTTTTTATTACTGTGGGCTAAAAAGTTGTGAAGATATTAATGTTTTTGCAATAGTCTGCACATTGCAGAATAATGGGTTTAATTCAATTCCACCTGTGAGCACAAATGGGACATTTAAAAATCCAGACAATAAAGGTTAATGCATCACAACCATAATCTAGGCTAGTCTCTGTCTATTGCTCCCAAACCTTCCATTACCTCCCTATCTTTGCCTTCAAAATATCACTCTTCAGACTGTCTACTGCTACAATTAATGGATAGTGAGGAAGAGCTTACATCATCTCTGACACCAAAGAAGGAAGCAATTTCCACTTTGAGGCCAATGGTACCAATCAGGAGGAGGCCAAAGTTTGTTGCAACTCGCGTGAGGAAGGGCAAGGGTTCAAGAAGGGAGTGCATACATAGCAGAATGACCAGAAATGCCAGTGAAGCTGACAAAGCAAAGGAGGTCAGGAGTAGTGTGCTTCCACGCATCATCACACAGCTCATAATCACTCCATGCTGAAATATGCAAAATCAACTGATACACACCTTGTGATTCATCAAATGTGGTGACCAATTTTCCAGATGACTAACAGCTAATCAATGGGATGAGATGAAGACTCACACAGATCGCAAGAGCGAGGCAGAGGCTTTGGTTGAATGAGATCAAGTGCATGACATGGAGGAAGAAGATGACATAAATCTGGACTAGAACAACAAATTGACCAAACTGCCATGACAAGAGGAAAGCTGCAGTCAGGCTAGACAGGGCCAACAACTGTATAAGAAAAATGCAGAGTCATATGAAATATAAATTTTAGAAAAAAAAAAGTTTTCACTATCCAAAAACTTTACCTGCTGCCAGGTAACTTGTTGGGATTGGAGGACCTTAGTAATGCAGAGATGGTGCATCATGAAGAATGGGAAGCCAAAGCTCTCCCTCAATGGAGGATAAGTTTGAACTCGAGTGCTCTGGAGAGACACCAAATGGCTGCTGTAACCTCATGCATTTTCAGTTTTTGCTCAAGATACATGGCTAGAATACACTCACCTCTCCATGATTGAAGAAAAAGCATACCACTGCCACAAGGCCTCCAAAAAGCCCTGACCTACCACAAGATATAATATAACATTATAAAAAACTCATTGTTAGACCATTTTCTGTTATTAAAAATATTATAAGATGCAGAAGGCAACTTCAGCAACCATACAGTTATCATATGGAATACTGAAACAGAAATAAGGTCCTACAATCATTGAGGACAGACTCAGCTGTACAAAAGGGATTGTAGGAATCAGTCAATCAGATGGTCCAACTTCATTGTATGGCACATAACTTTCAAACAATCTAACACACTGTTGTCACTTGAAGTGGATATTTTGTATTTTCAGTATTTGAAGAATTCTGCTGTTACCTGTTATTAAAATATGTCAAAATGAAATAAATGTTCTCAATTTAAAATTCAGTAAAACTGTATAAGTTGAAATGAATTGCCTGTCATTTATTTCACAACAAAAAATGCATCCAAGTTACATTTAAATAAGAAAATATAAAATATAACCTTCAATTGACATACAGTGTATATTGTGGAGATGATAGAAGCCTGGTCTAGTGACAAATTCCAATGAGAATGTGCAAGCTCTACAACAGCACTTATAATCAAGTACAATACAGGACTACACACTGATTATTCAAACCATTTTGAAATAATGTAGTCCATTTACACTTGACATATGATGGTAGTCATCAAATACATATCCTTCATGTGAGGCATCTACATTTGATATAATTTAGGATTATTAGATGCATGCAACTTTATCAGACATATGTATTCATGTAGTACCCCTTTATCTATGGAACACAAAGTAGTCATATAAATATGCTCACAAGTCACATAATTTGGCTTGTTTCAAGAATTAAGCTATGTAAAATATAAATGCCACCATACAATAAGAGGCTCTTTACAGAGACTTGTACAAACAACATATGTACAAGGCTAGAAGATTGTGTAGCTTGCCTGGTGCAAAGTTAGCATGTAGGCCTTCCAACAATCACATTCAATGTGCCAAAATATTTTTTAAGAAAAACCAACCTTTCTCAGTGCTTTCCAGATGAAAAAGGAAATAAAGTCCCAACAATGTAAACAACTTTTTCCTTATTGTATGTCAAGGAAATTATGAGTGATTCACAATAAGTACTACCTACACTAGGGTGACAAGATCTCTTCCAGGAAAAACTGGGACATCTTCAAGCACATCTTCATCATCCACAACCATTCTTGTAATTTTGATGTATATCCTCTATGAATGCCATTTCATGTGCATCTGTCATATATTATAATAGGGATTTGACCTAAGTAAAGGTTCTTATGAAATCTCAAGAAAATGCCCAAATATATTAGTCCTTGCAATGTAGAAAAGCCATGACATCAGAATTAAGAGGAAAATTCAAACCGAGACATAGCCTGAAAAACCAGGACTATTCCCATAACAAACCAGGGCATCTGGTCACCTCAACATATACTGTCAGTCTTGTGATAGTCATGAGTCATACCTTGAAACTTAATGGAAGAAGAGTATGTCTCAATTGTGCATTTATACCTAGTTCTGCCATACTGTTACAAAAGTTCATTTATATTTCTCTCTGTACTTGTTATGGGATTATTTCTCCCAAGCTATGCAGTTTACACAGTACACAATGTAGCTTAAATCTTTGTCAGTTGAATTCCATATTCTGTACTGGAAGGATGGAGTGGGGTAACAAAGAGAATAGGATTGCAGTCATCACACTGCACAAAGTTGGAAAGTCTCCTTCATTTATTTTTGAGACCCTGAAGTCACCTGGGATAACTAGAATGTTTGCATACCGGACCATAGAAAGGTACAATGAGTCTGGTAGAATCTAAGACCACCCAAGATCTGGACATCCTCATTCAGTTCAGACCCCTAATGTTATCAAAGCTGTGGCTTCCTGAATCCAATGGAATCCTCTTCTGAAGCGAAAAATATGGCCAGGGAAATGGATATTTCAACCCGAACCATGTCCCGCTTGATCAAAGTTGACCTTAGTATGAGTGCTTTCAGAAGAAGTACTGGCCACTGCCTAACACCAACTCTTCAAAGAATAAGGCACCAGCTATCAAAACTCTTGCTGCAGCATTTTGCTGGAAACATGCACAGGAAGATTCTTTTTATGGATGAAAATATGTTCACCATTGATGAAAAGTTTAACAAACAAAATGACAGAATGTATGCCCACAGCTCTCGAGAAGCATCAGAAGTGGTGAAAAAAGTGGAAAGAGGTCACCATCCGGCATCAGTGATGGTTTGGTGGGGTGTGAGCTTTGAGGGAGTCACAGAGCTTTATTTTTGTGAGGTGGGAGTCAAAACCAGTGCCAGAAATTACCAAACTGACATTTTGGGAAAAGTGGTGAAGCATCTCAATCAAACACTCCTTCAAGGGCAACACTGGATTTTTCAGCAGGATTTGGCTCCTGCTCACAAAGCCAAGTCTTCGCAGGAGTGGTTGCAAAGGAACGTTCCTGCGTTCATCGCAGCTTAAGATTGGCCTTCTACGAGTCCAGATCTCAATCTACTGGAATACAGGCTATGGTCTGAACTGGAGAGGATGGCCTGCCACAGACAACATCCTAATTTTGAGAGCCTGAAAAAATCTCTGGCCACACTTATTCTTGACACAGTGTCATACAGATGCTCCTTCCAGTCAATATTGAAGTGATTTGTTTGGAGGAGATGCTCTCTTAATTGAATGAATTTGTCTAAGAGTCTAACAATAAGTGTCTGCAAAATGTTTGAGCTTATTCACAAGGCAAAATCCAAGGGGCAGTTAATGACCAAGGCAGCAAATATAGACATTGATGCTGTGCAATTGCATCCTAACCAGATCCAAGGCAAAGCTAAAGCTTTTTGCACAACCTCTCCAGAACTTTCAAAGACAGAAATATGATTAATATTATCCAATAAATCTCTAGACATATTTATACATGTGAAATATACACTATCACCTTTTACATAGCATACTGTTGAAAACACAGGAAGATAAAGAGACAGCAATACCCCAGATGTGGATCAAGGAGGCCTAAAAGTGAAATAAGGCCTTTTGACTCCATTGGCAAACTCCAGAATATGACAGAAAGGACTTTTACTCCATTTTCATGCACAACGGCAAAGGGAATGTGACCTGAAGCTGAAAGAACTTCCCTACCAACAGCCAAGTTGTACATTCTCCTAACTCAAATGCAAAATACACCACTGATCAATAGAAGAAAATAATGAAACGAACACTAATAAGTTTCCCCAATCTTCATAAGCTAAGAATAGAAAAATTTTGTTACCCTAGTGAAGCTCCAGTGAGGAAGATGCAGACAGTTGTAATGGCAGCCAAGAACCAGATGCAATTGAGATAAAAGTACATAGGTTCTTGAATTCCAATGCAGCTCTGAATTGGAGGAAAGCCTGGGCCTCGTGAAACATCCCAGCATTCCTTGAATGTCATGTTCAGAGAGGTAATCATCTTCTCAAAAACCAAGTAGAAGCTTCCCAGAACCAACTGGAAAAAGCACATACATGTCATGTGAACTTCTATAATTGGACATGAATTGGCTGGTCACATCTTCTCAGAAAAGGCAATATAGAATTGACCATCACCTCAGGATAAACATTGAAGCGCTTGATGGGCTGTATTGTGGAGGGATACTCGGTCAAGTTATCTGCGAAGAATTTCTCCAGACGTGAAGAAAAAGGTTTTTCATTGTATGATGTCAGAATTTTGTAATAACGGTAATAAAATCCCTAAAACACGAACAAAAATCATAACAACAAATATTAGCATAAAGTCATTAGCATATATTGTATTTGAATATGAACAAAGACATACATTTTCTGTTTTGAAAGTGATTTCCCGTTCTCGTTCTGACAGATATGAAAACTGTGTTGTCTTCTCAAAAATTTCAGATGTATGGTAGAAGTTGGCAGCTCCAAAAATCACAGCTGTGGGAAGCAATGAAAAAAATTAAGACACAAGCATTTAAGACATGAGAATTAACTGGACACTGACTGTTGTAAAGATCCATGCCATTTTCATGTAAGGATTACTGCATGGCAATGGTGCACAGAAACAAAGGGCCATATCAAGGAGAAGTTGGGGCAGGTTTATAGGCAACCAATGCCAATGCCTAAAAAATAAAGTGGGTGGATCATATGTGCATGCAACTGCAGCTGAATGTCCTGCTGCTGGGTCTCCCTCTCTTTCTCTCTCCTCCATTGAGGGTTTATTATGCTCTAAATTAGCTTTGTTACTGACCTCCCATGCCAAAAAAAAAATTTTCATACACATGAGTCTATATCTCTGTGGTTGTAATTTACTTTTGTTCATAATTAGCACAGGCTGAGGCAATGGGTGACATTAGAACATATACAGCCAAATCCTACCACCAGTAGAGGTCCACTTTTTAGGTGTTGTTAAATGTTCCATTAAACATGTATTTGGGATCTTAATTTCCTTCTTGCCATTGCCAAGGGCTTCATGGATCTCTAGAGTCCTTTTGAACAATATACTGAGAAAGAAAAGAAGATGCTCACCTATAGCCCATATTCCTACAGACAGATCATGTCTGAAAAGATAGGATAAAAAATGAAGACCATTTGTAGGTTCACTAATGTCTGAAGATGTTCTTTCCTTAATAGCATTCACCACAGAATCTCTCCAATGAGAATCTTTGTCTGCTTCACGAGACCCTTCCACATGAGTATTATGCTGAAGTGCAGAGCCAGCAGTCTCAGTCTTGTAAGAACCTTCTGTCTGTTGGGGTGGATTTGCAGGGTTTTGCCTAAATGATTGCAACCTTTCCTTGGTTTGGGCAGATCTTGAATTGTGACCAGCAGCTGCTCTGCTGTATGGCTTATTGGAAGAACCAGATGATCTTTTCTTTTGGGATGGCATTTGATCCACTCTCATATATATATATCAAGCCTGAAAAAAATTTCCCAAGTCAGGTGCACATCTATGATGGACCTTGGCACTGTAACTAGCCTGACTTTGCTCACTGCCTTACCATTCATGAATTACTTATATCATACTTCATGAAGACCTACCATACAAGATGAAGCTAAAAGCCTGGGAACTAAATCCCCGCAAGAAACCCTATATCACACTCAAGTGTCACTTTCTACATATGCAACATTTGCAGTGCTTATATCCTCCCTGCAGAGGTGATAGTTTGTCACTTGTTGAAGGTGTGACAGGGTCATAGGTGTCTGTCTCATGGCATTCATACAGAGACAAAAAGAGGGCAATATAACTAATAAAAGCAAGGCAGTAAGTGGATGTTATCATGGGCAGTAAATAACTCTTGCCACCCGTACCTGAACATTGCAGTTTGTACTTAGCCTTATCACACTAGCAATGCTCCATCAGATATCACAAAGAACCTGGAACTACATCTGTCTCTGCCACGACAACGAGCAAGCACAATCCGATATTTCTGGATGGGTAGGCAAGTTTGAGTGACATTTGAGAGGGGTTGCCAGGGACTGAGCGCCCACGCTGTAGAGCTACTAATGGGCCCAACCTAGGCCTAAGGTGCAAACTTTGATCTAGGCTGGAGTCGGTTCATAAAAGTTGTAGGCTGCTGTGCTCTCTAATGAGACCACAAGCAGAAAACATCCACATAATAGCAGTAGGAGTACCTGCAGTCAATACGGCCTGCACCGAAAGGCTGCTAGGCGCAGTCCCACGTGAGAATATATGGTAAGCCTCCTACCTAGTGGAAGACGATACCACCTCCGTTTTCTCATCTTCCCGCTAGGTGATGTTTGTGCAGATTTCCTCCTTCCTTGAGTTCCTATCCAATCGGGCGCATACAGACACGGAAGATGTCTGACTCACCGGACTTGCCGGGCAAACCCGGTATTTTTGGATTGACCAATCCAGAACTCTTGTGATTTCGTTTAAATATATTATGGGAAAATTTTTTATTAAATAAAATCAGGGTCAGACTGACCCATTGGGATCCCGGGAAATTTCCCTGGGGGGGGCCAGACCCGGTAAAAAATTATAAGGGGAATTATTGGGAACATTAATTGCAACGAATGACCTTATACTTCTATTGATTCCATGAGCGCTGCCGAATTGTGTAAAGCTATAAAGATGATAAATAACTATGGTGCTGCTATGATAAAATTCACCTTGTTCTTGTCCGCAATTTCCCAGGGGGCCTCAAGGCCTCCAGTCTAACCCTGAATAAAACGAAGACAATGGAATGAGAGTAAGTCTGGTGGGGAATGCAAATATTATCGTGCCAACGGGACGTCAAAAGACAGCTCGCTAAACTAAGTTCGCGTTGTGGTAGGGACTAACCCTGTGCGCTAAGGATGAGAGACATTATTTCATGCTTACGTCAACTTGGAAAACGGAAATAGGTGTACTGGAACCTTTAGGCCCGTACAGGACGAATCAGGTCATCGAGTAAGTGAAGATATGAAAATTCGAAAGAATCGGGACCCACGAACTTCTTGAGATTGTTCCCTGCGAGAAATTGCTCTCAAATAAGGCCTGCAATTTCCAAGGCCATTAAACATCTATCGAGCAGCTAAAAATTAAGAAAACTATTGGCCTAACGGAATCTCAGTTGCTATCACCTGAAAGACGTAATAGGGAGAATCAGAATAAGACCACTTCGAGAATTGCCAATCATCTGAAATAGCACCAAAATGGAGATACTTTATAGGGATCTCGACTTTTTCCAGTTTGGACCAGGGAATCCCCCATCAAAGAAACCCAGAGTCGCCAGTCCCAATTTCAACTGGAAACCCTGCAGCCAACGAAGTGAATTTTCTCCACGTGTTCAGGAAAGGCATGCGAGATGACGCGAGAAAATGATGGAGTCTGTCACAATCTCGCAAGTCTCACTTGCGTCCTCGACAAATTATTCAAGGACGCGCGATCATCCGACTCCAATTCTGGTTCGTGGGAAATCCTTTTTATTTCCGCATACTTCATGGCGTTTCGCGATCGGATGCGACAGACCTGCGTATCTGATCGCGTGTCCCCCGATGCCGCTTTTTAAAGCTCTGCATTTTCACGGATTCGAGAGAAAGTTCTTCGCCAGATAAGAAGTTTTTTGACGCAGCAGTCGAAGCCTTCGGGTAGTTATCAGCGCAGAAACTTCATCGACCGAAGCGACTCGGGGATCTGATCTCGGTTCACTCTTTTTTCTCATCTGCATGATTTTGCGATTCAGTGAAAAAAAAACTGCGAAATAAGTGAAAAGTGAGAAGGAGAAAAAAAAAGGAAATGAGGTTCAGCATGAGTAAATGTAAAACATTAAATTATAGATCTAAAAATAAAAGCAAATGAGAAGCATCAGCGCGAACGACTTGCCTAAATGAGAAAGACGGTTGCTTCGAAGCGCGATAGAATTGTTGGATTCCTCTGACTCAGATTAGTCATCGGTTCTCCCACCTTTCGTCAAGCACGTGTTAGATCGATCCAAGAGATTATCCTCCAGTCTTGCATGCACGCGCGAGGATGGGCGCTGAAGCGGCGGAGGGGGTGCAACTGAGAATCGACCCGGACGAGTGTGTCGAGTCTGGCTTCCCCAGAGTGCAAATAGAGACTGGGAAGCTCCCGTCGCCGGCATATTCCACGACGAGTGCGAAAACTTGAACGGGATTAATATGCGGCTATGCGAGAGACACCTAGCGTGGCTGAGAGGGAGCAATCGGGACTCGTCTCTTTACCCCTTCACTGGGTGACTCCGCGATCCAATTCGTCTGGTTTCGCTTAACTTTCCGCCAAGTTCCTCGAAGCCTTACGATGGCTGGTCGGAAGTCGCAAGCTTAGAAATGACGTCCTCGATGACGTCACGCCTCCGGATCTCGAATCGCGAGAGCATCCTCCCCCTCCCGATACGCTTTGCGCGAGTTCTGCTCCGTCCCCTCTGTACCACCTTGCTCGGCACCACCTTGCTCGGCACCGCTTCCACCCTCCTCTGACCAACTGGACTGGGAAATAGGTTCGATCCCCATCGTAATCCCGCAAATCCAAAGGCGAATATTCATAGAGCCAACCGATCACTAAGATAAGAGGACTAAGATGAGGGATGAAAATGTTACAGATCACCGATTCGGAGCCATTCGACCGTTATGACACCAGAGGCAGCTGACCCCGTGAACAGCGCCTGCTAAACATTGTTGCCGACAAAGAGAACCGGTTCGTCCTTCAATATATTCCAAGAATCGCCTACAAATTTTCTCCGCGATGTCGACTTCCTTTCCGTCGAAATGCTTTTCTTTAATGACTAATAAACGTCATACTTCGTGCTGCTTCCGTATTTTATTTTCGACCTTTTGAACTTTCAGTCGTAATTTTTCTCGACCCTTTCCGGCGTGACGCTCATCTGGTCTTTCGATTTTCGACCTCGTGATCGCGAACCCGGGGTCGATACTGGAGCCCAGTGCCAGCAATTGATTAATGACATGATTAGAAAAGGTATAAATATCTTAATTAGGGAATTTTTAAAGGGTTAACTTAGACGAAAACACACCATGAATGCGTTTGAATGAGTTCACCGAAGCATGCGAAATCTCAGCGAAAAAATTCGTGATGTGAACCGGGAACGGGAATATGGTGGATTAATATGGCAGTAGAACGCAAAGGGAATCGAGTTTCCACTAATCTTGCCGTTTTAGATGGCGGGAGGGGATGGCTTGGAAAAAATGTAAGGGGAAGAAACGTAACCTTTGACCTTAATGAAACCATCTTGGACTCGACCTTAGTTCGTCCGCCGATTTCTCCTGCATTTAAACAGCTCAACTGCTGAAAGGCAAGACTTGAACCGTGGCAGAGATCGGATCTCCGACCAGACACAATTCAGCTGGACACCGACAGGAATCGGATCATCAGAGGAATCGGATCATCAGAGGAATCGGATCATCAGAGGAATCGGATCATCAAAGGAATCGGATCATCAGAGGAATCGGATCGCC